TCTACGAAAATAAATTAACTAGTTGTACTAGTAACAAAACCGTTTAACTATAGAAAAAACCTAGCATCTCAATTCTATTAGTAATTATTAACTAAATTAAATAGCGAAAAAGGGGACGGATCTGTATTTGATAAGTTTTTAGATGTATTTTGCTGAACAGTGTAGGCAATACTGAATATTAAAACTGAATTTCCAGCCAAGTCTTGATGCATAATATTTGTTTCTTAGTTTATTATAACTGGCAATTTTTTAAAATACATTTGAGAGAAAATCATGTGACCATGAGTTCAGTTACTTAGATCTAGTGTAAATTTAATTACCGCATAGAGTTAATAATCAATTGATGCTCAATTGTAAATTCGCAAAATATGTTGTATTATAAAATTGATTGTGTTTTTTAATTGAAACGAAATGCTTAACTTACGAGGGAATAAAAGTGATGCCGATTTTTCAATTACATAATCAAGTTTTCTATGGAAGATACACAGTGCTTTAGTAATCAATTTCATTTACGTAATACTTCTCATAATGAACTAAAAAATAAAATATCGTGTACACACTTTTACTGACTGTTATTTTTTGCTGAACCTTTTTATCAACTATATTATACAATTATACAAACAATAAATAAAATTATGGCAGGCTGAAAAAGGCAGTGATAATAGTTTCAATCACTAAAACAAGGTATTTTAATATTTATTCTTCTTTTATACACATCATTTACAACGAATTTTTTATTCTGTTACTAAGTATGGTATACATAAAGGGATTATTACAAAGTCCCTTGACGTTGATGAAACCTATACATATGTACAATTTAAAAAAAATTATATTCTAATTAAACAACATTCAAGTGAAGAGAGTTGACGATACAACTTATTTTAAAATATTTACATGGTGAGCTTTAAACACTGAATATTCGTGGCGTCACCATTATACTTATTCAATTGTCTAAGTAAATGCATTTTCGATTGCTTACTGTGAGTGGTATGTAGTTCGTACAGAGTGCACATGTTCAAAAGTATAGCTTCTTGCAAGCTTTTGATAGGATTCTGTACAGTTACCATATTTTCCATCAATTCTACCGCAGCTTCGAGTTTTCCTGTATAGAGCAAACAAACGGCTATGTTATTTTGCAGCATAATGTTCGAGCGGTCCAGATCTAAAGCCGCTTTGAAGCAGTTTAGGGCTTCTTGAAACGCGTTCTGAGCTACCGCCGTTAAACCTCTGTCAATGAGTTCCTTCAGATGTTCGGACTTTAGGGTATCCGCCTGTACAATACCAAACTTTTTTCCGGCTGCGGATACATCGCCAAGGGACAGATATATACTGCCGATTGCGGAATTGAGGATCTCCGCCTGGTTCTTTTTCCACTCGGAACTTAGTAACTGTTCCAATACTTCTGTAGCTAGAATGTAATTTTTAATAGAGAGAGCGCAATTAATGATAGAGATTAGGGTCCTTGACTTTCGTCCTTTCCAAAGTTGAAGAGAATTTGCCCTTTCCTCCAAATTGAATTTTGCAATTCCACCTTCCTCTGAAAGGCCACTTTCAAGGTTCCTTATAATTTTAATAATTGTGTAAAGAATAGCGTACAAACAATCAATTGAGCGCTTTCCTTTGCCGCAATGAGCAGGAATTTCAGCTAGTAGTAGTCTAAAGGAAAAAGAAGCCATCGAGCCGGATCTAGAGCCATACAGCTCTGGATAAAATATAAAGTACATGTCGGGCTTGTCTAAATTAAGAAATGGCGCTGCTTCCACTTCTAGAATTGTTGTTTGCCTTAATTTTGTCAACAAAGCCAGCCTTGTAAACCACAATTGCAGGGAATGTGGCGTGTGCTTGCTTGGGTGGTTTATTTTGCCATAACCCTGGCCATAGACTGCCAGTAGTCTTCCGCACAAGTTAACAGCTGCCCTGTAGCATCCTTCTTTGATTAAGCTTCTCAGACCAGTTTCATCCTTTAAACAAACATGGGTCATCCATGACACTGCATCAACGTGAGTTGAATAAATCAATTAAATTTACCTGTGTCACTTCGGACAACACTGGTACGGTTCTATTGATAGTTTCGTCCTCTCCAAGAAAGTGCAACGTGGCCTCTCTTATGGGATCAATCAAATCCTCAGCTGTAGAAATTCCAGGCATCGTCAAGTTTTCCCTGTCAATTTGATTCCCAGAAGTGGCAAGGGAACGTAGAATTTTGCGCGTATTCTCCGATGGAATCCACGCATCACGATGTGCATCGCTTACTGATGAATGTTCACTTGACTGATCGTCAAACGAAGAATCATTCTCAAAAATATTTCCACTGGGAGTGCCAGGCGGCATGTTGAATTTTGAAGGCGCGTTTGTTCCAAAGATGTCTGTTTTATTTGAAGAAACTATCTCATCAAAAATAGTAGGAGTACTGCTGTCAAAATAGCTGCCAAGTTTTGCTGATCCCGATGTGTTCTCGGAGTCTTCCGACTTGTTTTCACTCATTTTCAACTTGATAGCTGGAAATACTGTTGAAATATTTGTTGTAATGTAATGTGTGATAAACAGATGCACATACTTATAGTTGGCAACGAAAATAGTTAAATTAGTAAATATCTTATCTTCACGTCATACCTAAGACTCCCTTTTTAAGTTTATTTAATTATTTGCCGCATTTATTTAAGCTCGGAAATTTCTTCCAGATGTTGTATAATTTACAGAAACATCGAAACGTTATGAAAATGGTTGGTGTTTTTTTCACTTTTTGTAAACAATGAGTACCTTATATTTGGCAGCTTATTCTAATTTGCACTGACGTCAATGTCATCTGATGTGAATTATGTGAGTGAATGGCAACGTCCAATTTACCATCAGCGCCATCTAGCGTCGCTGATTTTGAACTAAAAAACAACCATATTTCTTTGGAAAGAAATACCCTAGCCTAGTAACTTTTCTAGTGATTTTCTTCGCAAAGAAATATGGTTATTTTTTAATTTGAAACCAGCGACGCTAGATGGCGCTGATCGCTAAAAATCTGCCTACCGCCCAGTAACTTTCAAATACCTTCTAACGCTTATCCTATATCCTATCTCTAATTCGACGATCGAAGAGAAAAAACGTTGAACAGGTTGGCCCCGAGGATGAGGGTGTGGCGCTCGGCGACGTCGGCAAGATCTTGAGGGGCGTTTGCGGGTGGACTCGCGAGGCGTTTGCAGATCTCATGTGACCTTTAGTTTAACGAACGTGGAAAAAAGACGAGGTGCTTGGAAATTTTGAACGATAACGGTGTGGGATTGATCGATGCTTGTCGATCGATTATTTGGCTGTCACGAGGGCCAAAGGGATGAGACTTAAAGACGTAGCCGATCTACCGAACAGTGCCGGTTTCGGAGCGGTCAAGTATTTTTTTAAGTTGTACGATCATTGGCTCGCCGACAAAGACGTGATTAACATTTTTACCGTTCGCCAAAACATAGGACTAATTCAAAACTTTGTGTTGTAAATTTGTATTCATGAGCATATATTTTTTTTTTTTTTTTTAAACGTACCGTAAAAAGTTTGTAACGAGCGTGTGAAATGCATTTTTTTTATACGAATACGTTTGCGATGACATTATTTACGAACCTTTTTCCTAAAACGTTTAAAATTTGTTTTCTCAAAAGTAAATTTTCGTACAAGTTATGAAAACTGCGACAAAGAATTGAAAATAAGTTATTAGTTTTTCTAGCATTCTTTTGTGCACTGTAACCAGTTTGATAAATTATAATTTTCGGGCCTCACTAGAAAATTTTCTATAAAAATGATAAATTTCAGATTTTAGAGCCGCCACTCTGACAGCATGCAAGCAACAGTTTTTATGGTATAATTTCTGTTGTAACTTTAACATAATTATTCATGATTTTAAAAATAATCAACAAAATAACAAACACAGTCCTCTAGTATTTAAAAAAATATTGAAACCCAAGTTTATATAAGTGGCGTTTTAATTGACTGACTTACGAATCCTCCTGAGCCACGAGAACCAAATCCTTAATGAGTGAATTACGACAGTAATTAGGTATAATTAAACGGTCAAACGAACTTGGCTGTACGTGAAGTTTGACGGTAATAATTAGGTATACGAAAGGAGCCTCGTTCGAAGATATCACGGTGTGGCTATAATAAACTGTACAAAGCGGGGACTATATATAAGTACATCGTGTTCATCGTGATATGGAGAAAGAGGCGACTGAAATATGATAATGTGATATCGAATGAATAGAAAAAAATGCGTAATTATATAAATTCATTTATTGAAAAATCCAAGTGCTTAAGTGCTAACATATTGATATTTAACATAGCTTTTTAACCAGCGCGTAAGGCGCGTTTAGTCATTTCGGGTTACTTACTCCCGTGCAAATATTTGTCGGGACGAGATAAATCGATCTAGTTTTTATTCGGGAGATACGTAATGGCATTCCTCTATGGGGGGCTTCTTGAAAGATGTACCCCCATTGTTCGAGAGATTTACCAAGTCGTCCATGGTAACGCAGGTCCGAGTTTTTGATGCCACGTGTTCGATTTTGAGTTCATGGTAGTAATCAATATCATTAAAATTTTTCAAGACCAAAATCATTTTTAAGGTAACCGTCCCATCGACGCTCACCTCTGTAATATTGATATAGCTCTCGCGGCATGTAGTGTCAGAGATATCTTTGCATAATCTTTGCAGAAGGACAACGCCACCCTGTTCCCTATGGTGCACCACTGGTGTATTTAATTCATCTGTTTCCCATGTCGGTGTTAACTGTTGTTTGTACAAACCAAAGTAAATTATTGTTTTTCGTAGCGTCGGTTTATGCATTTAGCTACGTACTTGACCGTGGTATTTTCGGTGCCTTCCAACTTTTTCGCGTAGGCAAAGTAAAAGCAGTGCTGAGCTTCCGTTTCCAAGTGCTCGATGCCGAGCTTCTCGATGTCTTTGATGTCATCTAAATTGTCCCAGTCAATCTCGGAGTTTAAGATCTCCGTTCCATTGACGCTCACCTTCTTAACCTTGATCTTCTCCTTGCGGCAATCGGTATCGGACGGATAGCTGCAGATTGTGTACAGAAGGATAACGCCACCCTGAGGCTGGTTGAACACCCTTCGTATCATGGCATTATTTTTCAATTCAATAGGGGTAATAATTGTTGGTGTGACAATCCCATCGTCTTGTACACAGACGAAATTTTTATTTGTATAATTTTTCGGTTGTATCAAGGATGGATAGCAGAATGTGTAGTAACCGTTCTCGTTCAAGATCACCACGCGAACAGGCACTATACGTTCATAATTAGGGTGGATGACATTGAATCGGGTGACATTAAACTCACTGTATAAGCTCCCTCGTGTTTTAACGACGTACAGGGGGAATACGACCTGTCTACTACCGCACATCTTTTTAGCGAAGTATATCGGCCGGGGAAATGTCGGGTACTTAATGATATACATGCATATATTCGTTACGATGTCGAACTCTAGCGTAGGAATGGGGATGACACCGCTTACTTGCTGACCTGAAAACAGTCAAAGAATTGGTTCATTGTTATTTTGCATATTTCGATCCTACGATAATTGACAAGGTACACGCTAAATATTCATCAATGTATATATTATACATACCATAGAGGTTGTATCGGATGGCACATAATGAGTATGGATACCGGTAACAGTATTGTGTATTCGATAGGTGGACGTCAAAGGTGTCATTGTAATGTATGACATCAAAGACCACTGGCTTACTACCGTCTTGCGGAAATTGCACAAAGTCAGATTTGCAGCTGTCCATGTCGACGATATTTATCAATTTCAAACTGTCGTACAAGGTCCACTCCAACACGGCCTTTTTCCCTCCGAGCATGCTCTTGAGATTTTTGTAAGTTGTATGTTCCTGATAGTCCTCATATATGTAGTACCTACGTTATTTCGCATTTCTTTTCAATACCATTAATCATTTTGAGCTTGTAGTGTCAATTGAATGTAGGAGGATGCTTGCGACCTTCGAGACAGTACACGTACATGAGGTATTGGTTGGTACTTGGAACAAACTTGAACTGATCGAGCGAGGTGGAAGGCTCGGAGTAGTTTTTGACGAATTCATGATGCACGTTGACTGCCCGTGTTGTGACACACAGCAGACCCAGGACCGTAAGGATTACTTCTAAAGTCGACATTTTTATCCTTCAAATAAATTTTCAATCAATTTCACTTTTTCTTTTTTTTTTCTTAAATACGGTATAATTAGTGGAATCATTGCTTTGGTTGAAGAAATTGCTACGCGTAAAATGTATTTGAAAAATAAATTGAAGAGAAAAATAGTGGGTAACTCGAAAAAAATAATGCTACGAGGTGTTTCACCAAGTAAATATTACAAATAATGCAGAAATTAATTTAATACGTGTGTATTGAGTACTTACTGTGCGGTTGACAATCGACGATCGTTGAACTGTCTCAGAAAGTACTTCACCTCTTTTTATATCGGGAAATGCGACGAGACCACGTGACCTCTATCCAGACAGTATCGAGCTACGATAGGCTTACTTGAATCCCTTCCACTGGTTTAATGTTCCCATGTTAATGTACTGTGGTTTTTCATTTTAAAAGAAAATATTTTTTTACTCCTACATTAGAAACATTTTTTTTACCCTGTCTTTATCAAAGCAATTATAATTTAATAATTAAAAAAGTGGTTTTCATTCATATTTTAGTAGTTCTACTGAAAATGCAGTTTGGACAGTTGTAATACAAAGAGAGTTGTGGAGAGA